GAAGTGAAAACCACTCAGGATCGAACCTTTTGATGCCGCATCCGACAGATCCCTCTCATTACTCCCTGACCTGCGTTCCCGCCGTCTACGACGTTCGGTTCATCATTGGAAGTCACGGCGATTACTCCGCAGATTGGATTGCGCGTGCAAAAAGGACTGCGTGTTGACGATCATTGGTCCCGCGCTGCAGATTTCGTTGAGCGCAAACGCAGAGGGGAGATTGAAGATAAGCCATTGTCGTTTTCCGCTCCCCTCTTGATCCACAAACGCTGACCCGCCATGCGTAGCGCCGCGCTTCTGGACGTGGTGATTCTCACATCTGCGTATTCGATCCCAATGGTAATTGTGGTAATTGTACCAACACAATCGCCCGCCCGGATAACTCCCAGCCATCCACCCATCGTACAATCGGTGCTTGCGTTACTCGATAGCAAATTATTTCGAACCATGCAATTTCACACGGTGATTCTGTGAGTGCGGTGGACTTCGTTGTTTCGCTGTTTCAGAAGTTTTGGTATAGGGGCTGACGCCAACTCCTTTGGAAGTAAAACTGGGCTCCTTACTAGTTGAACGCTGAAACACGCTGCTCCTTGCTCTAGTCACGATTGTTGATTTATTACTGGAACAAGGTATCAAGCGGGGACAATACACAAAGTTCGGAACGTCAGACTTAAGTCTCAGCTTGCTCGGCTTCAACCCGAAAATATCCCGGCGGAGGCTCGGCTTCGAACCGAAAATATCCTGGCGGAGGGTCGCTCGCTGGTCTGCCCACGGGCAAACTCTCGAGTTCCTGAGCTCGCGGAATCACTTGTTCACGGAGATTGGAAACTTCCGTGGCGTCCGCGCCATTAGCAACACCCGACATCTCCGCTGCGAGCGGCGGCGCCGTCTCCATTACCGTCCGCGCCGTCGGTTGAGGTCCGTCGTCTTCCAAGACGGGCTTCTCATCGACAGCGCTATCGGTGGGACGCGCCGTACCCGGCGGCTGAGGTGGGCTAATTGGGGCCGCGGCGGCTGCTACCTAGTGCCGGAGTCCGATCCACCCTCAAACCCGGGCGCCGCTTCGGGGTCAGCGAAGACCTGCCAGGCGTGCGGTTGCGTCCTGCCCAATCGGCGCCGCCGGAGCATGAATAGGATTGCGAGAGCAATTCCAACTGCCGACAGCCCGCCGAGGAGGCCGCCGACCAGAGCCTGGGTTCGTTTGCTTCGACTGCGACTTTGAGCCCCGGTTGAGGACTGAGACGAGGCTGGCGTCGCCGTCGGTTGGGTTGAAACTCCAGTCCTGGGCGAGTTGTTAGTATAGACTGGGTGTTAGTCAAGGGCGTACATACTTCGTCCTCGTGGCTGGGAAATTATTGGCGGGCGCGAACTCGACGAGGACCAACGTAGCGGCGGTGTTGACGGTCACGGTGTTATATCCGAAGCTATAGTTGCACTCCAATGACTCGTTAGTAGGACAAGGCGGAGGAGGGTACTTGGGGTCGAATATGGGCGGTGGGGTGTGGGTGACTGATGAAGTAGATGTCACTAAACCAGTGTAAGTTCTATTCACTGACTTGAGCGGGCAAGAAGTCGAGGGTTCGTGTCGGTGCTCACGACGTCGATGTCTCCGTCACAGTCTGGGTGAGAGTCACCGAGTCAGTCCACTCCACAACGACGGTGGTGGTGAGACTAAAGCGAGCAGGTGTGAGATAACGAGAGGCGGCTTTGAATGCAATTCTGTACGCACCGATCCTGGGGGGGCACAATATCCTGGCCGAGCACAAGATTTCCCAAGACCAGAACACCCAATGGCAAGGTAAACATGAGCCTCGACGACAGCAAGATAATCTGAACTGTAAGGACGATCCAGCGTCGGAGTCGCAGAACGAAACGGGTGGGGTGGAGATGGGGGGAGGGAGGAAAGAAGGCGCGAGCGATACCCGGTGTTGGTTACCGACTCACCGTTGGACAGTTCAAGAACTGCAAGACCAGGCAAGACCCCGATCGATCTGTCGAAAGAAGCGCCCCACCGCGATTTACTCGGGTGGCCACCCACGCCGTGGTGGATCCAGGAGCCAGGCCACAGGTTGTGCCACACTCGTAGAAGCAGGATAGAAGGCGAGCCTAGGCGGGTCGCAGATCCCAAGCTATCGGGGGGCAGGAGGAACCGCGGCTGGCCTTGGCCAGATATCCCAAGGTGGAAACGCCGTCGTTCGGAATTGACACGCTGGCGGCCAAGAGAGTTCAGATACTGTGTCGACGACGGCGCGCAGGGGATGCGGGACAAGTGTAAAAGCAAGAGACGGAAGGCTTCACCAGAGGTCTGAAAGATCGGCATGAGTGTCGGGAAAGAGCCATGGCGGGTATCAGAGCGGAGTTTCTGATGAGCTCCGGCAATCAACGGCTGGATGTTTCCGCCGCAGCTGGGTGCGGTTCCACTTATCAGGTCAGATATCGTCCCAGACGTTTTTCTTTGCGGAGAGAGTCAATATCGTTGTGGCTGGGGCTGCATTTCTTTGCATAGAGAATCAATTACCCGCCTGCGGTGACCCACTGTGCAGTCACCAGACCCTGACGGAGCCCTTCGTGCTGTGGAGTTTTCGGGTAATTTTGTGAAACTCCACACGCTTCCTCGTCGGTTTGGATGCAGCTAGTCGGAATATCAGCGGAATATCCGCTCAGGAATTGACCGGAAAGCAACCGGAGAGCTGGATTCCGAAGTCGAGGGAAAAGCTAAAATTTCTGCCGTCTGTGGATCTCATGAGTTGTCTGGAGGACAAGCTGATGTAGCAGCTCGTCGGGACCAAGATAATGTGACAAATCCAAATCCGAGAGATCGCAGCTGCGAAGCAGGACGAAGCCGTCGCCCTTGATGCTCAACAGTATCAAACAACCCAGCGCTTGATCAAAACCACCATCTTGCCACCATCCACCCCTCGAATCGACCGTAAGATACTCCGATCTCCTCATAAATCATACCTGACTGTGCGTGGCACTCTAGAGCTGGCATGACCGTGTGCTGGAAGTGCGGAGCGAGTCCAAAGAATGTGACTCAAATCTCAGCAGGCTCGACGACACTCATGCCACCGTTGCTCGACCTGCCGCCGCTGGACTTGCCGCCTCCCGAACTCAAGCATCTCCTCGAAACGAACGACATTCCCATAGAGGCTGAGGCCTCCGCTCTCCGCGATATCATCGCCAATCACAGGGGCCAGGCAGCCATATTGACTGCCCAGATCCATCGCCTTCGGGGGATAGTTAACCAGCTCATTGAGAAACAACAAGACATGGTTCACGCCGCCGACACCTACTACGCAGTTCTTTCCCCCCTCCGTCGGTTTCCCTCGGAGCTACTTTGCGAGATATTTACTGCCGCCTTGCCCCCACGCCGCCCCGACGACGCCCAAACGGTGTTGAACCCACCTTGGTATCTTGGGCACATCTCGAAGTTTTGGAGGGACACCGCCCTTACCTATCCACCTCTTTGGAGTTCCATCGACGTACTCAAGAGCGTTCGCGGGACACAGCCATCATTACCTGCACTCCAGACCCAACTTCGGCGCTCTGGGAATGCATCCCTCGCGCTGAACTTCCGATGGCGCGTCTACGATGAAGATTCGTCGAATGCCTCGGACGGTACGGTCCTCCTTGACGCGCTTGTACACCACTCGGACCGTTGGTTCTCCGCCCGCTTCGACTTGGACACCTCTATTCTGAATCAACTACTCGATTGTCTCCATCCCGCGACGGAGCGCCTCGGCCGGTTGGAAAAGTTGGAATTCGGGTCCCTTCCCCTCACACATGCCACGACGATCTTTTCGACTGCGCCCCGCTTGAGGGTCGCCCTTCTTACGACGTACAATTACGCCTGCTACTCCTCCCCCGTTGTCCTCCCTTGGACGCAAATCACCTCGTTTCGCGGCTTTTACAGCCTTGAAGCGACGCTCGAGATCTTACAGGCTGCCTCGACTATCTTCGAATGTGTGCTCATGCTCACCGACCAGGTCGACAATGCCGTGAATACCGTCCCTCCTCATCGAGTCATCGCAGCCCCATCCCTCCGCCGCCTCCACATCGAGAACGGCAGTTTCTTGAATCACCTCATCGCACCGCTCCTCGAGCATCTCTATTGCGAAGCTCTCACCGAAATGGCCGACGAACTCCCGTCCTTCATCCGCCGATCGTCGTGTCGATTAACGGCGCTATTTCTGCGGGACCGGTGGTTGGCCCGGGATCTCATTCCCGTCCTTCGCGGCGCCACCCCGCTCACAACCCTCTGCTTGCTCGCCCAACGACACAGCCAAGAGAAGGAAGCCAAAACTCTCCTGCGCGAGATGACGATCCCGGGCGCCGCGCATGATGACCTGGTCCTCTGCCCGAACCTCACTTCCCTCACATTCGGCGAACGCGTCGCCTCCGATCATCGTTCCGCCTTGATGGACCTCTTCGTCCCGATGGTCGAGTCTCGCATCCACCCCGACCGCCCTTCCCGCCTCGCATGTGTCTGGCTCCTCACCGGACTTCCGAACGCCAAGTCGTTGATTCTGATGCGTCAGGTGCAGCCTTTGCGGGACGGGGGACTTGATCTCAAACTCCTGTCCACCGAGGAGGGATTTTCTCACATTGCTCGGCAAACGGGCAGGGACTCTTTTTTACCGTCGTTTTGAATTCTGACTCGGTAGCGCTATGCATGTTTAATGCGAAAATTCTTGGTGAAGCATCCATGGACTGCGGCGCGGCTAAGGATTTTGTCCTTTCGTTCAGTTTTGATCATGGCCGAGATGGCCCAGTTCGTTTGATGGAGTTCGATTTACGTGGACAGATGTGCTCTATGAGCTAGTGGGTCGAGCACGTTATAAACTATTAACATTTAAGACTCGTAATTCTGTCCACTGGCGGACTCTCGAGACTCGTTCTCGCCCCCCATTTTTTATATGTGATTCAAGAATTCAGTTCGCTGCGGTCTCAGGGAGCCCAGTCACAGTACTAGGTACTCCCTTCCTCATAAACCACACACTGACTCGGTGGCGGAGGTTCCGCGCCTGCCGTCCATGGGCAGTTATTGAAAATTGGAATGTATGCAGGAGTCGTGCGTTCGATTCGCGCCCGAGTCGTTAGTCTTGCCAGCGTGCCACGTATGTTTTTTTCCAATTGACGCGTAACGCACCACCTAAGTAGTATTTGCGAGTTTGTCAAGCAACCGTGTTTGCGGCGTTCATCCGATACCCAGTGGGACCTTCTCCATTCAGTTCAACATGGCTGGGATGGCCGAGTTCCTTTTGGGGTTCAATTTACGAGTTCCTTGGATCCCATGTAGGTACTCCCTCAGAAATAAACCACGCACCGACTCGGTGACGGGAGGTTCAACTTCCGCGCCTCAGGCCGTCCATGAGAGCAGGCAGCAGGAGTCGCGCGTTCACTTCGCGCCCGACTCCTTCGTGCTGGTTCGTATGGTTTTTCCAATTCGAAGCTTTAGGGCGGTGTCGGACCAATTCCAATTCCTGGGTGGACCACAGAGATGAAAACAGGCCGCGACTCGGGTCCTGGAAATTGGCGTTGAAAGTTGGTTGAAAGCAGCGAATGAGCGCCGAGCGGTGCTCGCCCGCGAAGCTGGGGTCAGTCAACTGCGGAAATGCCCGCTGCGGGGACTCTGTTGCGTTGCTTAGGGAAGCGACCAGGCGAGGCCGAAAATGAAACAGAGTCGAGAAGATGCAGGGGCAGGACTTGATTGTTGCGGTCGGGACCTGAGGTACAGGTATGTAACTTTCAGCTCCCAGAGACCGCAGCGAACTGAGTTCTTTTTTGAATGAAAGATGGGGCGAGAACGAGGAGTCCACCCACCAGCCAAAATGATCTATCTGCCCGACTCACCGTATAACGCTCGAGAGCTGAACGGAAATTGAAAAAACGGGGCCATCTCGGCCATGCAAGTTCAAAACTGACCGGAACAGGAGAATCTCGGATTCAAGGAGCAGCAGTAACCTCGAGATTTCACCGTCAGGAGCACCTTGCTGTCTCCCATGAGCATGAATAATCATTTGGAACCAGGGCATCGCATCTCGTGTAGTGAAAGCCGCACGGCCGTTTGTGCTGGCACCCGATCGGATAGGCGGGCGTCCTCGGTACATGCTCCCTCACAAATACTGACTCGGTGGCGGGAGGTTCCGCGCCTGCTGTCCATGACAGCTGTCGCCAATCGGACTGTATGCAGGAGCCGCGCGTTCGATTCGCGCCTGAGTCGTTACTGCTGTCGCGTATGATTTTTCCAATTCGGACACCACCCAGTATTTATGCTTGCCAGTTTGACATGCAACGTTCACCCCATACCCACGACCTCATCTATATTATGTCCATCTATTCAGTTTGAACATCGCCGAGATGGCCGAGTTCGTTTAATGGGGTTCAATTCATAATTACTTGTGGATGTGCTCTATGGGGTTGCGCACATGTCTTGGCCGAGAGGTACGATAATTGCATCCTAGATATTCCCTCACACTGACTCGGTGGCGGGAGGTTCCGCGCCTGCCGTCCATGTGGAAGTTGGCATTCGAATGCATGCAGGAGTAGCGCCGCGGCGCGTTCGATCCGCGCACGAGTCGTGCCGTGCTGGGTGCTGAGGCGCAAATATTTTATTTTATTCGGTCAGATTCGAATGTCATGAGCAGCTAGCAGATGAGCTATGTATCTACCCTACCCACCATTTCAACGACGCTGCAGCGCCTATCCTCGTGGTGAGTCCTTTCCCCTCTAACACATCTGCCGCCCTTATACTCACTGTTATTCAAAATCCTGGTAGTGCTTTCGCATTCATTCCAGTTCAGCTTCAGGCCCATAAAGCGCGTGAATCCCCCTCAAGCAACAGTCGATCCGGACTTGGTCGATGCGTCGGGGGATGAAGGCTTTCTGTTTACTTCAAAACGCCGTCCATGGACCTTGATCGCACAAATATCTGAACCATGCGAACCATCGAATCCGAGATTCTGTGGTTTCAGTCAGTTCTGAACATCACCGAGATGGTCGAGCTCTTCCCGCCCCATTTTTTCTTGCAGTTCGCAGTCTCTGGGAGCCGAGAGTTCCTTGAATCGCGTGTATCTACTCCCTCACAAATAAACCACACACCGACTCGGTGGCGGGAGGTTCCGTGCCTGCCGTCCATGTCAAGTAAGTGATTGAATATTGGAATGCATGCAGGAGTGGCGCGTTCGATTCGTGCCCGAGTCGTTACCGAGAACCGGGTTTTTTTTTGGCCTTGTTTCAGTTTCTGAGATCCAGCTCGCGGATGACCTAGTCGCAGTATGTGAATGGCGCTGCGCGGCAGCGGTGAGCCTCGTGGTATGTCGTCTATTCTCCCTTGGACTCAATATACAATAGACAAAATCAGTCTCGCAGCGAGAATCCCAGTGCTTTCGCAATAATGTTCACTTCAGAATCAGGATCAAGTGCGTGAATCGCATTACAAGTACCGAGTTTTTTTGTTTGCTTGCGGTGTTGTAAAGGTCTGGGTGTCCTTATAATAATCGAATTGAACGCAACTGATCAACGCACATTCGCTGCTTGCCCTCAGTACCCAGTAAGTACTCACTCAATGTGCAAAAGCATTGCAAAACCATTCCGAACCAACCATTCCGAACCATACCAAGTCCAATTCTCTCTCTCGTCCTCGTCCGTCCAGCCGGCACCCTGAGCACAACACACAACTCCCCCGATGTCCTCGCAGTCCCGTCTCCGGTATCGCCGTCGCTTCCAATTGGACCCACGACGTATGTTGAAGGTGATCCTGTCGGTTGTTGCAGGGCCGTCACTGTCTCGCTGCGCTGTGGGGTTGCTGTGCGGGGGCACTTTTGGCTCTCGAGACAGAGTAAATCGCCCAAGCGCTCATGTGTCCAACCGCCACCATCTCGAGACTGGAGCTGCACCGCGCGTCGGTCAATAGTTGTTGTTGCAACGCCCACATGGACCCACTGAGCCCTTTAACTGCGTACCAGCGCGCGGAATCTCACGCCGACGACTATGGCCATGCAATCTCGGCTGTTTCTCCGAAACTCCAGTCTAAAGTTTAGTTGAACACGATAGAAGAATTCCAAGAGTTGACGCAAATCCACCAGCCCGGGGCATCAATTGAATTTTTCCTCAACTCTAAGACGCCGCCTCTTCTCCAACTCCGGCCAGGCTTTCGCTGTCGTTCGTTGCTCACGCCAATCGCTATTCTCGTCGCTTGTCGCCGTGCCCAAGTCGGAACACGCAAATCCAGCTGGACTCCACCGAACCCCCTGGGCCGACCTGGCGAACTTGAGACTCGGTCGAACCTCGGAGACATTGAATTCCAATTACCCCAGCTTTCGTGCGCATCACGGCTCCGGGATGGCTCAGCAGGCTACGTCAGAATTCCCGTATCACAAATTCCCCTTGAGAGTGCGAGAACTTTGACTTGTTCGAACTTTAACGGAATACAAAAGGCGTTGACTCACCGGTGTCTATGGATGAGCAGGTCGGGTCCGGGACGCCATCCAAGGGGGGCAAGATTCATCATATTGAGCTCGGGTAGGAACTTCAAGCTTCAAGTTACCTCAAAGTTCCCCAAAAGTTCCCTCCTCTTTCTCTGGTTTCAGAAAGTTTTGAAGATGTGTCTCCAGCCTGTTCATTGACGAAAAAGCCAAAAGAAAGGCAAAAGAAGGCTCCCTGGACGAGATTCGTTCTTGAAGATGTGTCCTCAGCCTGTCCAAAAAGCTCGCTGGAGCAACGCTGGAGAGTTTGCCACACAAAAGGAAGCGAGGTTACAACAAGGCCTTGACTCGAGTGGTCCAGAAGCGGGGAAGCAGGAACCGCGTTCACATGAAAATCAACTAGATTTGGTGACGCCAAGGTTGCCTGGAGTGAAATGGACGAAGTGACATGGAAGCAGGAAGAGAAAAGCGGAAGCGGCAAACACGACGACGTAGACTCCCGAACCAAACACAACCTCACGCGGCCGACAAGCGGCGACGCTGGCTTCCGACCATCACTCCTGGCGCTGTTCGTGCCGCTAGCTACCGTGTCTCGCAATGGCGTCAACGCTCCCCCAATGCTTCCCGTCACGCGCCGCCGCCATTTCGTCCCTCCAGGCCACGGAATAAAAGAAAATCGTTCGCTAATTGTTATGTCATTTTTGCTATTCTACACTTCTCATCCTAAGTAATTCTCGTCCTTCAGAACTTGACCTTGCTAACGTGGCCGTAGAAGCTCTTGCCCTGGATGGTCGCAATCTCGAGCTCGAGCCCACTCGGCTGGCGCGAGCCGTCCGAGGCGGCGAAGGTCCCCGCGCCCCAGGGGGAGCCGCCGTGGACTTCGCTCAGGTTGGTGAGCTGGCCAAAGGCGGGCGCGTACCCGAGGGGCACGTAGATGACGCCGTGGTGCGTGAGGGTGCTGAGCGTCGCGAGGATGGTGCTCTCCTGTCCTCCACCGGGGCCGGCGGTGGAGGTGAAGGCGCCGGCGTACTTGCCAGCGAGCTTTCCGCCCGCCCAGAGGCCGGAGGTCGAGTCCCAGAATGCCTACACGGGAGTCAGTTCCTATGTATCACGATGGCACCGACAGGCGGCATGGACGCGACGCACCTTCCACTGCGCGGGGAAGTTACCGAAACGGGTGGGGACACCCATGATGAAGGCGTCGTACTCGGCGAGCTTGTCGGGCGTGATGACGGGGAAGTCGGGCTTGGGGCCGGCGTACATCTTCGTGAGGACCTCCTGCGGGAGCGTCTCCGCGACCCTGGGCGGCGTGAGCTTTGCTCCCACTACCCGCGGGACGGGGAGAGACTCACTGGAACATGTCGACGTGCCCACCGGCCTCCTCGACGCCCTTCTTGACGGCCTCGGCCACTGAATCCAGGTGAGCAGAATTCCTCTCCGAAGCACGGACTGCTACTCACTCTTCAGGATGTGTCCGTACATGCTGTAGACGACGATAGCGATTTTGGGGGCCATTTTTGTTGCTTGTTATTCGAGTTGGGGGTTAGTGGGGGGGTGGTTACGTCGGTGGGTTGCCTAGCTGGCTGGCTTTTGTAGATCACGGCGTTGGCGGTGGCTGGGATCGCGAGGGAAGCAGAGTCATGAATGGGGCTAGTGCGTCTGACCAAGCT